TGATGGCAGTTGATGTTGATAATGATGGAAGGGAGGAGAAGGAAGAAAGAAAACGCAAAAATGGAAGAAGAAAAAGTTCATTCAAGTGATTTTTAGAATTGGTTTATCATTAAAATCAGCAAATCATTGACACCATCTTTCATCTTGTTTCTAGATGATTGATTCTCATCATTTTGATGACCAATCCTCATCATTACCTTAATCTAATTGTTCCCTGTTACCTGACAAAACTTTCAACATTTCAATTTTCAATTCAATTATCAAAGTAAAGATCAAAACAATTGAATCAAAGTTGAACATGAAATTTACTCCAAACTTAACTCCATCTTTTTCACTCCCAGAGAAACTCCAAGGATTTTCCAATCTTGAATCGAAAACTGATTCTTCATAATTTTCCACGTTTAATCGTATTTTTGTTGACTCTATGAAACTCGTCGATGTTGATCATTAAACTAACGATAAAAAAAGAGTTTGATGATAAAGAATCCGCCAGAAGCTTTGACTGAAAAGATTAAACCAAAATCTCAGCTAATGATTCAGATGCTTCCATACATAAACTGGATAAAAACGATTGAATTTGTAAGCATCTGATGAAACAATATTATGATCAAAATCAATATTAAACTTTATTCCGCCAATTCAACTGACCATCAAATCTTTCAAACTGCAAAAATGGAAAAGTTGATTCATGATTATCTTGAAATTCATTTACTTTTCATGTTTATCTTTGTCTTTTCCATTCATGTCAAAACCATATGATTAACTTGAAAAAAGGCAAAGATTTGTGTGTTTTCAGTTCCTCCCAAAAGTGTTATCTAATATCATAAACTCGCATTAAAAACTCTGGGAGTGAAAGTATTCATCACTCCCAGTTGATTACCTTGTCAAGTGACTTGCTTCTTGGTGCATCTTTAACAGCCCACTATTTACACTCATTTAAAATAATTATTCTCATTATTTGATTAACATTGTACAACATTTGATTAAAACTGAAAACACTATTAAAAAATGGCTTTAATTGAGTGACAAAAACTGATCAGCTTTCAAGGAACAGATGAAATATGTTTTACAGAAACTAGATTTTTATCCATTCTTTTTACTTTTACCTTACGGGCTACTTAGCTTTCGCTTTTTTTAGCACACAAATCATTATTGGAAACAATTTAATTTCATCTTAATTCAATTTAATGATGTGTTTAGACAAAATGAACAACATTCAATTCCTTGAAGGCAAAAGGGTTGCAATTAAAAACTAGGATAAAGTAGCTTTTAAGACGAAACGAAGGTTAGAACCAGATATTGATTTGTATTTAATAAACTTGCATTTCTGCTTTGAGCAACCATTTTCCTTTCAGTTCAAAGCATTTAAATAAGAAATGAACATTTTAATTATTTTGGTGAAAATTTTCTTCTTCCCAATTCTGCAGACAATAAGTTCGAGTCATTACTTGAAAAGGGTTGAACTTGTTCAACTGTTTTTCCTCGCATTTCCAATCAATCCCTTTTGGTTTTCCTTATTTTATTCATTTCGATCTCGCGAATCATTTGTAAATCATTATCATGAAATCATTCTCAACCTGATCCACCTACGATTCCATTTTTATCCGATTTTGTGACAATATATTTGAATACCGAATAGGTAAGTTGAAGGATGCATGAAGTAACTATTGAAATGCAGTCGATTTACATAAAGAAAAGTTTCAAAAGATTTACTATTATTTCAAGATTATGCCATTTAATTGTCACTTAAGAGCAACAATTTTCTCCTATTTTTCATGGCTCATGAGGCAATTCAGACTTTGTTATTCAACTTGATTTATGCCATTTGATTCGGAAACTTTTTTTAGTCAAAATCCAATATTTTTTGCAAACAAATCAGAACTAAAACTTGATTCGAAAAGATTTTATAATAAAATGAAATTGTCCTGATATTCAATTAGTCTTTGCTCTGAATGTACACTTTTCATCATAAAGGTTCTCTTCAAATTCTGACTGAAAAAAGGAAAGAAAATGAAAGAAGTTTTAAATTCAGAACTTTGCAGAGATCATTGTTCTGTCTGATTCGAAAGAATACAAAGTGTTGGTTGATGGATCAAACAGTCGATCTGTAAATTTTTCATTAGTTCTTTCGATCTTGAAAATTGCATTCGATTTTCTTGACACAATTACTGATATTAAATTGAAGACGACACAGAAGTTTGCTTGAAATTCTTATCAATAGAAATGATTCAAAATGTAACTCATGATTGAATAAATGAACAGAATCTTTTGCAAAAGTTTTTACATTCAAAATTGAATTGCAGGTAAAAAGTGTTTAAGATGATGAAGGGTAGAGAAAGTAACTTAGTTTTATCATTCAATGATTTTCAATTCTCGCCTTAATTCTCTCGATTCATTCTTTAATTCAGTTTAAATTCAGTTCAATTTCATTTCATTGTTTAAACAATATTTATTCAGTTTTCATAACTATCCATAATTGTCAAAACCTCAAAATGGTTAATCTTAAATATTTAAATCTCCATCTCAAACAGTCTAAAACATTGTAAATTTAACCACAAAATTTGGTTAAATCAGTAAATCTTAAAAGTTGAATTTTAAGCTCCATAAAGTAAGAGAACCAAATTTCCCTTTCTTTTTGTGGTTAGTTTTCAACTTTTGTTCACCTCAAATTTTAATCCAAATGCATTACCAAAGGTACACTTATCTCTCTAGAGATATATGTCTCAAGACATAGCTAATGAGTGAAAGGCTACACAGCTTTAACTGTATTACTCAAAAGATAAGAAACTGTTGCTAACTGGTAATGAACCCAAAAATCAGACATTGTCGAAAGACACTTAATTTTACTTTCTATCATTGTTCCCTCCAAAATTATCCTTTGTTTCAACGAGGTTATAAAAACCCAAATTTTTCATTCTTTTCTTTACTTCACAATCTTCCGTTGTAAGTCATCATTCAGTTTAATTCAAATCTTAATTTTATGTTAAACTTCCATTCCTCAAGGAATCTTATAATTCAGTTAACCATTAAAACTTTAATTCAGTTCAAGTTCAAGATCTTTCATAAAATCTTATTTCAATTGTTCCAGTATTTCCATATTTCTAAGTATCTTTGAATTGTGTATATCTCTTAGGAGATCTCTTCGGAAACACTCGATTTGAGTTTAAACGCGTACAAGCTTATTCAAGCGATCCAAGATACGAGCTTAAAACTTGTAGTGAAAGCAAGTTGTGCAGTCTTCATCAGATTACTACCGTAACAAACCTTTCACTTGGCGACTCTGGCAGGATCGCTAAGTTCTGTGCCTGTTTGAACTCTAATTCTGTGTTTTACAGCCTTGTGTTAATTTGACCTTTCGAAGGTTATACTTGTGTAACCCTCAACTCTTATAATATCGGACTCGCCGTGCCTTTCTCAAGATTTTAGTGCCTGACTCAGTTCTCTTGAACTATCTCCTTCAATTCAAATTCAAATTCAGATCTGCCATGATCCTTCAATTCAACAATTTAAACTCAACTCAGGACTCTAATTTCTCATAAGCAATTCCATTTGCTTCTCAAGGTAAAATTAACCAAGTCTCTTTTGCATGTTTATTCCTCAAGGAATATTCAACCCATACAATTCAATTCCAATTCTTCAAAGAATCTCAAATTAACTCTAAACCCCGAACAATTTCAACTCTAAACCTTCAATACATTTCAATTCAATTCTTCTAAGAATATTCCGGTTAACTC